CCTGGTGTGACCAGCCCTTCTCCTCCTTTGGCAAGGGCTGCCCTGTGGGATTTCCTGGGCAGGCACCGAGGCAGGTCAGTGTCCTATTGTTACTCTGTTAAAGTGTGTGCTGTGGCACAGATTGGGTCCCCAATGTATTTCATGAAGAGCTGCATGATGAGTACATGTGTGAACAGTAAGGGCGTGCATACAAAAACACGTCAACAAATGCAGTAAATGGGCCTTGCAGCCAGGTGAAAGGTTCATAACGTCGAGTAGGCAAAGGGATTCCTGGATCCCTCTGCTGATGGGAACGAGTGATGGGTGGAACATCCTCAGTGGAAGCTGTGGTGGGAATTGTAGGATGCATCATGAGCTCTGGCCTCTCTTCCCTGGGGCAGTGGCCCCTGACTCTTTGGGGCAGAGCGCAGGGCTCCCCTGCCTTCGAGGCTGCACTCACCCGCTTCTCCAACATCCTCAGCAGCAGGCGGAAACGCTCGTCCTCACGCAACCACTGCGGCAGCTCCTTCTCCCCGTGGCTCTTAGCTTGTTCCAGCTGCTCCTTGAGCTCCTTCAGCACCGAGATCTCCTGGGTCAGTTGGCTATGCCAGGTTCTTGTCGCCTGCAGGTCTAACTCCAGGTCCAGCGAGGTGCGGATCAGACGCTCGGAGCGCAGGGACTTGACCGAGGAAGGCTGTGGGGGTGGGGATGGCTTCTCTTGTTATTAGAGCTCTGCCCAGTGAGCCCACCCAGCCCCTTCCTCTGACCCTCAAATACCCTCTCTTTCTTTACCTGTAGGCATCCACTCCTTTCGAATGGGGCTTCCCCTTCCCTGGGAAGCCTGTTGTGAATTCTCCCATTCAGCTCATGTTTACTGGGCATTTATTATGTCCCAGGAATGGTACTAAGCACTTCATTTCCATAACCTCGTTTCATTTTCACAAACCTAGGAGGTCCTGAGGGTTATCTGCACCTAGGAGGCTTGCAGAGGTTAAGTCCCACAGGGCGGGCATGTGTGGTAAAGTTGAAGTTCCACCTCAGGGAGCTGGCTGCAGTCCCCACCCGCCCTCTCTGTACACTGTGCCAGCTTCAGTACTCTCAGCACCCTCCATATGTACGTTCTCAGTTATTGATTCCTGTCACTGTACTGTTCTGAAGTTGTTTCCCCAATACAGGTCTGTTCCCGCCTGAGGGCAGAAGTCATGTCTTCTTGATTTTGTGTTCCTGTGATGGGCCCCTATTGTTTCTGCTTGTCCAGCATTTGTTTCCCCAGCCTTAGAGTAACAATGCCCTCACCTTCCCTTGGAGATCTCCTCCTCTGCACTCAATCCACCTGCTTTGTGTGGGGCATCAGGGATAGGAATGTGACCTGAACCTGGCCAATCTGAATCTCAGTGACAGGTTCAGAGGTGAGTATGTTATCAAAGCCCAACCATTAATACTCCATTCTGGCACTTTGCTGAACTGCTTGGAAAAGAGGCGATGTCTTTACACCGATGTTGCTAAGCCTTCAAGATATAAACCTGGGACTCATCATGATCATCTTTACTTGTGGGGTGACCTGTTCGAGAATTAAGCTGTACAGAGGGAGCAACGCCATGAGAAGGGGGCTGAGGCCTGATGACATCATTTCAAACTTTGGATCAAGCCATGCCTGAAGGTAGTTCAACATCCTGGATTTCTTCATTAAATTAGACAACAATTCCCTCTTTCATTTTTAAGCTGTATTTGAGTTAGTTTCTTCAGTTATCTATACGTAAAAGATCCTGATTAATTCGACCATTAACTCTCCTCCCATCACAAATCACTAATGATTAAAAAACAGTAATTCATGACTATGGGAGTCAGAATTCTAAAATGGTTTCTCAAATCCCATTCCTAATATGCATGCCCTGTATAATCTCCTCTCCTTCAATTCCAATGCGACCTGTGAATATGAACTATCACTCCCACTAATCAGTTGACTTTGAGTTAATCAAAAGGAAGATTATTCCAGGTGGTCCTGACTTAATCAGGTAAGCCCCTAAAAGATGGCCTGGGCTTTTCCTGGCTGGGCTCTTCTGCTGGCCTTGAAGAAGTAAATAAAGCATGTTGTAGAGACGGCCACAGGGCAGAAACCTGAGAGTGACCTCTAGGAGCTGAAAATGCTCCCCCAACCCCCCAGCTGACAGCTAGCAAGAAACTACAAGGCAATAAATTCTGCCAACAACTGGAGGCAGTGCCTGGATGCAGATGTTTCCTTAGTCAAGCCTCCAGATGAGGATGTGGCCATTTAACACTTAGAGGTTTCAGCCTGCTAAAACCCTGGGTAGAGGGCTCAGCTAACCTGTGCTTGAACTCCTGACCTGTGGAAACTGTGAGGTAAGGCATTTGTATTATTTTAGGCTGCTAAAGTTTGTGGTGATTTGTTATGTAGCAATAGAAAACAAATACAATGACCAATAAGGAGATCTCAGACACAGCATAAGAAGCATTACCATAAGACCTAGTCTCATTTTGCAAGGCTGGCAAGTATACTATTAGGAACATAAGACAGCTCTAGGAAGAATTTCTAGAACGCTCTTCTAGGTTGAACGTGGTCTGCTCTGTGCTTAAAAACGAGCAGGATCAAGGAAATTCAGCTGAGTGATCTACATGGCTCAAGCACTCAGAGCAACAAATAAAGATTCTTTTGCTTCGTCTGACCCATGTCCAGTCTCAGAAGCTGGGCAGGCTGCAGTAGAGAGAGAACAGCTCAGGCAGTGCGTGGAAGCAAGGACCAGTGCCCAAGGGCCCAGGCCCAGCCTCTGGACTCTCCTGACCTGAGGGAAATGTGGGCTCAGACCCACCATCAGGGGCTTCCTTAGTAAGTCATCCTCTTGGGTAAGGGGAACAGGGGGTGATGAAGGGGGCCTGCTTCTGGGGGGCCTGCCTTAGAAGGGAGCTGTGGGAAATGCAGGGGGAGCAAGTAGGAGATCAGTGGCATTTCTGCAGAGGTGTATCATGAATATCTGCTCCAGAAGCTCCTAAGGAGCTTTGTTAAAATGCGGTTTTCAGGGCCCATGCCAGCTGCCTGAATTAAATGGTCAGAAGTGTGGCCTTGCAATCTGCATTGTCACCAAGCTCCCCAGGTAACTTTTGGTGCTCCAGAGACTGCAGTACAAGCCAGCTACAGAAGAGGGGGTTGGGGTGGGGGACCCAGAGTGGGCAGTTGGTTGTCTCTGTCACCTGAGGCCACGTCCACTTTCTCCCACACCCACCCACTCTCCCTTCCCTGTGTAGTCTCTCCTGCGTTGCTGTCTCTCTCTTGCTCTCTCCAGCTATCCCTCAGACTTGTTAGGGTGTAGGATGTCAGGCAAAGGACCAGATTCTGGCTGTCAGCAAGCAGTGCAGGAGAAGGGGGGTGCCTGCCCCTACTGGGGGCTGTTGGCACTATCTTTTCCCTCCATGCTCTCTTTTTCTTTGCTTTCTTTCTTTTTTTCTTTCTGACATTCTGGCTCCTGGTTTCTTCCAGTTCTGCAAACTCATTAGACAGAACTGCTTTAAACTCGTGTTGAAAGCCCAAAGTGGGGAGGGCCCCCTGCATCTGCTGCAGTCCTTAGTGGTCAAACACAAATCAGGGGTCGCTCCTTTGCCTACCCCCACCCCATCCGGATCGCTCAACTCAGTCTCCACTAGGAAAGGCCAGGAGGCTTCTGCAGGGCAAATCTGCAACCTTTTCCCTGTGGGCCTCCCTGCTTCAGGCCGGTGCTCAGAGGCACCCAGCTTCTCTGCCAGCAGGAGGGTCACGGGGCCTGGATGACAGACACACTGAGCAGAGTCTTGTATGAGGAAGGCTCCTGTCAGATGATGCTCTCTGACTGATGACTGTGACATGTTGGGTTGGTTAGTTCTTTTTTTGTTTTTTGAGACGGAGTCTCACTCTGTTGTCCAGGCTAGAGTGCAGTGGTACAATCTCGGCTCACTGCAACTTCCGCCTCCTGAGTTTAAGCAATTCTCCTGTCTCAGCCTCCCGAGTACAGCCTGGGACTACAGGTGCACGCCACCACACCCAGCTAATTTTTGTATTTTTAGTAGAGATGGGGTTTCACCATGTTGGCCAGACTGGTCTTGAACCCCTGACCTTAGGTGATCAATCTTCCCACCTCGGCCTCCCAGACTGTTAGGATTACAGGTGTGAGCCACTGCACCCAGCTGGGTTGTTAGTTCTTACTGACTTTGATTTCTATCTAGGAAGTCAAGGCCAAGTGTACACACTCCTCTTCTAACCTATTTGTCATAATAAGACAAATACATTTACCCTTTGGCACCTTCCCCAGTGGCTACACAGGCCTCATAGTTCACAAACATCTGTTCGCAAATACCAGCATGCTTGCGAGAGCAACATTTTTCAAGCCAGTGGCTGAGGAGAAATGGCCAGCCATCAGGAGACGTGTGTGCATGACACCGGGCTTGGGGCAATGGGGGAGGAGCAGAAAAATAGCTTCGAGGTGACTCTTACCCGCTTCATCCGGACGCTGCGTCGCTCCAGGGAGTTTCGAACAAAAGGTGGCTTTTTGGACAGAGTGGAGCTGTCACTATCACTCCGATTCAGCTGCAAGAGAAAAGTCACGGAATGTTAAACATGGTCCGAGTGCATTCCGGAAGGTGCACTGAAGCCCAGAGGGAGGTCAGGTTCCTCCGCCCAGCACAGTCCTTCCTCTCCTTCCGCAAACGCCCAGACTGTCCTGTTCCGGGTTTCATTCTGACTTTTCCTTTCTTTATACGTGAACATTCATTGAGCATGTAGTATGCATGATGCACACTGCTTCATCTCCATGCTAGTATCTGCAGGATGCTAAATGCCACGAATATCCCATTGAACCTTTCCAACAACCCCATGTGATAGGAGCAAATCCATTTCACAAATGAGGTGACAGAAGCTTAGGGGTTGCAGAACTGGCCCAAGGTTGGCAAGCTGGTCAGTCGCACAGCAGGGCTGGACACTGGGCAGTGTGACTTCAGTGTATACTGCCCTCTTGACCTACTACACAAAGGGCATTTTTGTATCAACTCTTCCCTGGTGTCTACAGAGACTGCCTTTACTGACTTAAATGGAGCCGCTGTCAAGATTGATATTTAAAAAAGAAAAGGGCAGCTTAAAGGCAAAGCCTCAGGGACCATATCCTTAGAGATAATGGGGCAGATCGTAACTTTCCCGTAGGCATCCCCTCAATCACTGAGTTATCTATACTCCCCCCAGACGGCTAGTATTCCCCATTTAAGACCGGAAATCAGGCCTACAGTCAGGATGGGAAGCTTCTGTATTGAGAGTGTGTCCCGCCCCCCGAGGAGCACGAGAGAGTGGGTAGGATGACAGCACCCCTGGGAGGTGGGAGCAGGGTGGGGAGTTCTTTCTGAGTCCTATTTCCAAAGTCGGTGGGGTTGCCAGAGGCCGATGCTATTGTGCTTGTGTGTCTAGCAGCTGTCATTTCACTGCTGCAGGTCTCTTGAGAAGCTGTTTCTGTGGTTATTGATAATTACTTGTGATAATGATATTAATAGTCCTGCTAAGCTGACAAACACAGCAACTCCAGGGACAGACTGATGAAATAGCCACTGGGCTAGGTAGGGCCTCAACCAGCACCAGACACTGAATAGTACAAATAATGACTGCCACATGGAGAGAGCACCTGCTGCATGCCAGGTGCTTTAGTGACAGTTTCATTTAATCCTCAAACAATTCTAACGTGATAGGAACTGAGGCCCAGAGAGATTAAGAAGCTTGTAAAGTTGAATAGCTAGGGAGTATCAAAACCAGAGTTCAAGGCTCAGTCTGTTTGGTTCCAAGGCCACCAGCTCTCCTGGCTCCAGCCTGCAGTTAGGGCTCAGAGATGAAACTAACGTGCAGGTGGAAGGGTGTGCCATCTTGACAACTGGGGTAGGTTCATGTAAACTGGTTGCATGTGGTACCAGAAGGGGGTTTTTTCTTTTCTTTTCTTTTCTTTCTTTTTTTTGTTTCTGTTTTGAGACAGGGCCTCACTCCTGTCGCCCAGGCTGGAGTGCAGTGGCACTATCTCATCTCACTGCAGCCTTGACTTCTCGGGCTCAAGTGATTCTCCCGCCTCAGCCTCTCAAGTAGCTGGGACTAAAGGCACATGCCACTGTGCCTGGATAATTTTTGTATTTTTTGTAGAGACAAGGTTTCACCATGTTGCCCAGGTTGGTTTCAAACTCCTGGGCTCAAGTGATCCTCCCACTTAAGCCTCTTAATATCCTGGGATTACAGGTGTGAGCCACTGTGCCCAGCCTTTTATTCTACATTGTTTTAATCCAGTGGTGGCACTTAAAGGATATGTGTCCTACCGACCAGAAATGGGTATCGGGATAATTGATCCTTAAGTTGTAGTTGTTTATGTGTTAAAGACTATATTATATAAAAGAGAGACAGAAGCTACATTAAGTCCTTGAATTTAGCTTTCTCTAATATAAACATACTTCAATGCATACCGATGCAGAGAGTAGTGAAATCATTTAGAGTCACAGGAAACTAGTTCGGGAATGAGAATTTAGGACAGGCTGTGTCCATTTGGTCAAAGTCGATCAACCCAAAAATGTGGCAGCACTTCAGATGAATGCACGGGGGCTGAGGAGAGCTGCAGGAAGGGTAATTCATGGCCCCTGGACTTCAAGTTCAGTAGGGGAACTCAAGACAGTGAAACTAACCAAGTGACATAGGCACAGATGAAGACCAAACAAGGGAGCCACTCAGCAGGGGATGCCTTTTGTGCAGAGGCCAGCAGAAGGGGCTACTCACAATCAGACCCAAGGAGGCCAGAGGAAGCCCCTCAGGAGGTGGCTCTGAGCAACAAAGAGGCTGCAGGCTTTGGAGTTGGACTCCCAGCTTTGCACTTAGTAGCTGTGTGACCTAGAGCACAGTGCTTTGAGTTTTTGAGTCTTAGTTTCTGTGTCCATAAAATGGTGTTCACACAACTCACCTTGCAGGGCTGTAAGATTAGATGACACAGAAAATACGTTTTTTGGCTGCGGGTGCTCGAAGTGTTGCTGATTAGCATTTGAAATCCCATCCTGTGGGTGGGAAAACCCCACCTTATGACTTGGTGGGAAACAAAGCCCACCCCCCAATGATGAAGCTGAAAGTAGCAGAACCTTGCTTTTACTGCCTCCCTTGCAGCTAGAGGCAGGCACAGGACTAGCCTCTGTCAGTTGGATGCAAATGCTCCAGGCCTTGAATCACAACCTGGTGACTTGCATCCAAGTCTGTTACTATGCCTCGTGAATTGAAACAGGCCACTCTTTCTCTCCTTCGTTCTACAGATGTGCCAGGTTTGTTGTTATCTCAGGGAAAAGCCATTAATGGTAAGTAGTGGCAGTGGCAGCAGTGACCAGAGCTTCCATGCCAGCTGGGACAGGAAACTGGTGGAGGCATAAATATTGAATGCCAGGGGCAGCAGTGGGGCCGGCTGGGGCCAGGTTTTGTGGCAGCATTGGTGAAGGTGTCACCCGATTGGCTTTGTGGTATAATTTTGGCTGTGGTCTGGCCTTCCTAGGTCCTGATTTCTGAGGCTGGTTCTACAGCCTTATGATGAGTGTGTGAGCTCCTCAATTTACTTTCCCCCAAATTTTCCTGCATATACTGCTCACTGTCCATTTCCATTGCTTGCAATGAAAAACCCTGACCTGTATAGGCAGGAAGTAGAATGCTATCAGTTACAGACTGAGACACGTGGAGCTGGCTGTGGAGGGGGCAGGGTGGAGGCATAGCATAGCCCCAGCATGTCTCTGTTGGCAATTTGGTAATGCTCATCTTGTGGGCGCAAAACAAAGGGTTAAATAGTTCCCTGCTATACCTTAGCAGACAGTCTCCATGCCTGCAGAGTTTTAGAGGAAATGATAGAAAATCTTCATGATGTTGTACTCTTGGCTACATCTTGTAGCCTTCAGTAAGTTTTATAAAAAGAGACATAAGCTTGAGCTGAAGTGGGCCAGCTAGAAAGCAAAGAAGGAAAAATACATGACTTTGCTAAAAAAAAAAAGGCCCTTTCTACCTGTGGAATGTGATCTCCATTGACTGGGAATCTCTTAATTTGTGATCTTGCAGGGTTAGAAATGGTATGAATAATAAAATATGGGAAGTGGAAGCATAGTGCTTGGTGTGTTACAGATGCTTATTTAACTAGGACAGGTGCTTTTTGTTATTTGAAGATGCCAATCCTAGAAAAGGGTCACTTAAAAGTAAATCCATGTAAACAGGGAACCAGAATTTTACAGAAAACACTGGGGAAAAATGCTTGAGGTTGAGTCTATAGGTGGAAAAGATAAACATTTCACCAAAGTTATTCTATTTTATATTTCCCATTTAACAAAATTACAACCACATTCTAATCCTGATGAAAAAGAACGAGTGAAACACTAATATTTTTTGGTGAGATTTTTCTAATGAGTGACATTCTTCTCTGTGTTTGATTTCTACTGCACGTTCATAATGGCAGTAATTTCCACTCCCCACCCCCCCCACCAAAAATGCAGAGGGTTATCCATTGTCTTAAGGGCTTTTCTAAATCATTCAAATTATTCATGTTTTCTTTTTGAGACAGAGTTTCACTCTTGTTTCCCAGGCTGGAGTGCGATGGCCCGATCTTGGCTTACTGCAACCTCCGCCTCCCTCGTTCGAGTGATTCTCCTGCCTCAGTCTCCCAACTAGCTGGGATTACAGGCATGCGATGAGCCACCATACCTGGCTAATTTTGTATTTTTAGTAGAGAAGCACCGATTGGATTTTTCTCTCCTGCAGTTGTGAGCCAGCTTAATTGCAGCATCTTCTACCTATGATTTAGGAAGCCCAACATCACATTCAGTGACTTCAGGAAATCCTGCACCTTGTGCAAGATATGAAGCCAACATGCATTGTTACCTGCATTATCTTTTCAGCTGCTTACAAGTTCAAACAATTAGCTAGGGCTCTACCACAGAAGGGAGAGGTTTATGTTGCTCCTAGGAGGGACCGCAGGGGATGTTTTCATGAAGACTCATTTGACAAGCAGCCAGTCAATCAGTAAAATTTTCACATTATAAAGAAATGAGCTTCTCTAATCAATCTTATATACTTGTAGGCCTTGAACACTGAATACTCAGATAATGAGACCCCTCCCTTCCTCTCCCCTTCCCTCCATAACAATAGTCACGTAAATGGCAGGCAGAGAACCAAGTGTGGACTCCACAGGCCTCCCCTTCTGTGACAACTTTTTGGGACATTAGGCAGGAAGGTTCTGTTGAGGGCCTAGTTATTATTCAGTGGTTCTATATGGTAGGGGAAGGAAGGATATTGATATCACTGGAACCCAGGATTCAGGTAAGGTAGGCACATGTCTTATCTGTGCTGCCCCATGGAAGGTTAGGAGCAAGGGCTGGTTCTGTAGCTCCAGCAAAAGCATGACCCCTCAGACTCAGTAAACACTGAGACCCCCCATGCAGGGTAGAATGAAGGAAGGTGGGCTGGCCTAGGAAGGGGAAGGGGTAGGGGAACTGGAAAGCAAGGAAAATGAGGGTATGAAGGAACAAAGACCACTGCAGGGCTTGCACATTCCTCTGGGTATACAGGAGCTGGTGGGCAAATGAAACAGGTAACGAGGGCCAGGTAGAAGCCAGAGTGGACTGGAAAGCTCCCCACCTCCATCAACTAAGGACAGTTGCCCCCACCTTGGTGCCAGCCAATTGCTGCCAATTGTGTGTGGTCTGTGGTGACATACAGTCTCTTTTTTTCAAGAAGAACTGGAATTTTATGTCAAACTCTTCCTATTTTATTTTATTTATTTTATTTGTTTGAGGCCAAGTTTCGCTCTTGTCGCCCAGGCTGGAGTGCAATGGTGTGATCTCGGTTCACTGCAACCTCCGTCTCCCGGGTTCAAGGTCTCCTGCCTCAGCCTCCCAAGTAGCTGGGATTACAGGCATGCACCACCATGCCCGGATAATTTTTTGTATTTTTAGTAGAGACAGGGTTTCGACATGTAGGCCAGCCTGTTATTGAACTCCTGGCCTCAAGTGATCTGCCCACCTCAGCCCCTCAAAGTGCTGGGATTACAGGCATAAGTCACTCTGCCCGGCTTTATTTTTAATTGCCCTTTAGGTTAAAAATAATTTTTTTTTAAAGACAGGTCTTACTCTGCTGCCCAGGCTGGAGTACTGTGGTGCAAACATGGCTCAGGGCAGCACTGGACTCCCGGGCTCAAGCAATTCCTCTGCCTCTACAAGTGCATGCCACCAGGCCCAGCTAATTTTTAATTTCTTAGGTGGAGACAGGGTCTCATTATGTGGACGAGGCTGGTTTTAAACTCCTGGCCTCAAGTGACCCTCCTGCCTCAACCTCCCAAAGTGCTGGGTTTACAGGTGTGAGCCACTGCATCTGGCCACCTTTTTAATAAGTTTTAAATGTTAGCAGCAGGTTCAATTAAAAAAACTAAAACAAACTAGAAGCCAAATAATACAGATCTGCTGTAATTTGGCAGCCTCAGGCTGCACCCTAGAATTGCCCTGGAGGTGGGAAAGAAACGCCTGTGTGTCTCGGGGACACTGAGGGGTCCCCCTCTGATCTCAGCAAGTGGTTGCAGGAGGGCAGGGCAGAGTGTGAACAAGGAGGAAGTCAGTTGGTTGGAATTATAATAACATTGACCAAGTACTAACTACCAAGCCTTTTCTATTGCTTGTCTAAAACAATCCTATAAAGTAGGCCCACCTGAGGAAACTGAGGCTCTGAGGTGTTAACATGCCCGAAGTCGGCCGGGCGCGGTGGCTCAAGCCTGTAATCCCAGCACTTTGGGAGGCCGAGACGGGCGGATCACGAGGTCAGGAGATCGAGACCATCCTGGCTAACACAGTGAAACCCCATCTCTACTAAAAATACAAAAAAAAAAAAAACTAGCTGGGCGAGGTGGCGGGTGCCTGTAGTCCCAGCTACTTGGGAGGCTGAGGCAGGAGAATGGCGTGAACCCGGGAGACGGAGCTTGCAGTGAGCTGAGATCCGGCCACTGCACTCCAGCCTGGGCGACAGAGCGAGATTCTGTCTCAAAAAAAAAAACATGCCTGAAGTCACCCAATAACATGAGAGTAACGGGCTTTGCACCCAGCCCTGTGTGAGGCTCTCGGCTACTCTGAGGGGAGCAGAAGGGGTCTGCACGCTCACTTACCCGGCAAACGTACTGGCTCTGGGGTCCCGGGGAGAAGGTCTTAGAGCGGATGATGGTGCTCCCTCGAAGAAATGGCCCCGGGGACGGAGTGCCCACCCTCCGGTCCTTGGGTCGCACCACTGTGGGGGATGGGGCCGGGGTCTCCGTGTTGGTTTCTTTGTCCACCTGAGGAAGAAGTCACACCTTGAAGCCACTAGTGTTCACAGAGTCTCAGCCACCTACCAGAGACCACTCAGCTGCTCCTCCTCCCTCCTGTCACCTCACCTTTCCCCACAGACACACCAGGGTTTCCTTGGCATTAGCCCTGCTAGATGAGCTCAGCCTGGTGAAGTCAGGACAGTACCCAAGGCTGGGTGCACCGACCCCCACCCCTCTGTGGCACGTGTGGTTGGGGGCTGGTGGGAGCACATTCAGCCTCCAAACAGACTCACATGAGCAGTAGAGGTGTCTCAAAGTTTTGAGAGTGTGATGATGTCCAACGTCCTGGACGTCACACTCTCAAAACCTATAAACCAAGTCCATTTTGAAAAACCACACCCAAGGCTTCCACAGCCCTGGCAAAGTGCTACAGTTGCTTTCATTGAATTCTGAAGGCAACCAGCTAGTCTTGTTTTTAAAGCCAACCCATCAGGTTTTTTACTGCCTGTGCACAGTAGTCATCAGGAAAACATAAACAAACAAAAACACCTACATGCAGGACCTCTGTCAGCCTAAACAGTGCCTTTATATAATTTTAAGAAAGGGCACCCCCTCTGGCTGGAGAAATTGCAGAATGATGCCCCCTTGGTGTGGAGGAGTTAGAACTGGGGCCCAGATCCTACCGCACCCGCCGTGGCCAGGCACCTCTGTGCGGTACTCCAGCTGCAGCCTTGCTCAAACACGGCAGGTGCTCTAGCTCCAGGAGTCCTGGAGCCAGCTGTCTGTGGAGAGTGAATCCTGCTGTAACATGTGACCCTAGTGCAGCAGGGGAGCAGGCAGTAAAGGGAGTCTGGCCTTTTTTCCTATCGCATTATGGGCAGACCCACATGAAGAAACACATTTTCAGAGCCTATCTGCAAGGTTGGTATTATTGTGCCCATTTTAGAGATGAGAAAATGGAGGCTTGAGAGGGATGAAGTCATCTGCCTAAGACTACACAGCCAGGGAGTATCAGAACCAGAATTCGAACCCAAACCCTTCTGACTGCAAGGCTTGAATTCTATCCAGAGAAGTCAGGGAAAATGCAGAAGGCAGAAGAAAAGAGATGGGTGAGTTGGCCTCTCCTGGTTTACCATCACCAGAATGACCCAAAGGTGACTCCATTGTGAGGGCTTGTGCCCTGATGCTGGAGGCCAAGACTTAGCTCTGAGTCTTTTCCGACTGCTTCAGCACAAGAATTGAAGGCTCTTTCTCCGCAACAGCCCTTCCATCCCCCCAGCCCTTCCTACCTTTAATGCTGGGTACCCGTCCATATCAGGTGAGGCTTTCTCAGTGAAAACATCCTCTTCTTCCTCCTCCTCTTCCACCTCCTCCTCCTCTTCCTCAGCTACTGCCTCATTCTCACTGGTCTCCTCGTACCTCCTGTGATGACAAAGCACTTTGGTTACCCACCCAGAAGCCACTTTGCCTCTGTTCACCTGCCTTTAAGTACATCCAAGGGAGGGCTTCCAATCCTTTTGATGATTGAGGATACATTAAAAAAAATTTTTTGGGGGCCAGACGCAGTGGCTCATGCCTGTAATCCCAGCACTTTGGGAGGCCGAGGCAGGCGGATCGCCTGAGGTCAGGAGTTCAAGACCAGCCTGGCCAACATGGTGAAACCCCATCTCTACTAAAAATACAAAAATTAGCCAGGCATGGTGGTGTGCATCTGTAGTCCCAGCTACTCAGGAGGCTGAGGCAGGAGAATTGCTTGAACCTGGGAGGTGGAGGTTACAGTGAACCGAGATCGCACCACTGCACTCCAGCCTGGGCAACAAGAGTGAAACTCTGTCTCAAAACAAACAAAAAAAATTTTTAATGAGGCATAATTTGTTTCCAACAAAATGCATTTTCAGTGTACAGTTTGATGAGTTTTGGCGAATGTATTCACCTATGTAACCACCACTGCACTTGAGATGTAGAACATTCCATTCCTCACCAGAATTCCCTCCTACCTTTTCCCAGTTTAATCTCCCGCTAGGCAGCCACCGATTAGCTGTTGTTATAGATTAAGTTTGACTTTTCTAGAGTTTCATGTAAATAGAATCAGACAATATATGCTGTTTTGTCTCTGACTTCTCTGTGTCTGCATAACGTTTCTGAAGTTTATCCATGATGCTGTATGCATCAGCGGTTCATTCCTCCCTTTTTTTTTTTCTTTTGAATGAGAGTCTCACTCTGTCACCCAGGCTGGAGTGCAGTGGGACCATCTTGGCTCACTGTAGCCTCCACCAGTGGGCTCAAGTGATCCTCCTGCCTCAGCCTCCTGAGTTGTTGGGGCTACAGGTGTGTGCCACCACACCTGGCTAATTTTCCTGTTTTCTGTAGAGACAGAGTTTCAGTATGTTGCCCAGGTTGGTCTCAAACTTCTGGACTCAAGCGATCTACCCCCCTTGGCCTCCCAAAGTGTTGGGATTATAGGCGTGAGCCACCATGCCCAGACAGTTCACTCCTTTTTATCATTAATATTCCATTAGATGGAATATTGCAACATATTTAGATCTGTTCACCTGCCTTTAAATGCACCCAGGGTAGGGGTTCCAAACCTTGGAATGAGGCGGGTGGTTGAGGAAAAGGAGGAGGAAGAGGAGGAGGAGGAGGAGGAGGAGGAGGAGGAGGGAGGGAAGGAGAGTTCAGCTGATGAACATTTGGATTACTTACATTTCCAAGCAAGTATGAATAAAGCTTCTTGTACATTCATGTATAAGTCTATGCATGAATATAGGTTTTCATTTCTGTTGGATATTGCTAGGGTTGCCAAAATAAAACACCACATACTAGGTGGCTTAAACAACAGAAATTGTTGTTTAAGGATTTCTGGCAGCTCTGGAGGCTGGAAATCCACACTCAAGGTGTCAGCAGGTTTGATTCACCTGAGGCCCCTCTCCCTGGCTAGCAGATGGCTGCCTTCTCGCAGTGTGCTCACATGGTCTGTCCTCTGTGCATGCGTATCCCTGGTGTCTGTGTGTCCAAATATCCTCGTATGAGGTCCCATCCCAACTTTAATGGCCTCGTGTTAACTTAACCACCTCTTTAAAAGCCCTACCTCCAAATACAGTCACATTCTGAGGTACTGGGGGTTAGGGCTTCAATGTATGAATTTTGGGGGGATACAAATCAGCCCCTAACAGATAACAGAATTACTGGGTCATACAGTAAGTGTAAATGTACCCTTTTAAGACACCAACAGGCTGGGCATGGTGGCTCACACCTGTAATCCCAGCACTTTGGGAGGCCAAGGCAGGAGTTCAAGACCATCCTGGCCAACATGGTAAAACCTCGTCTCTACTAAAAATACAAAAATCAGCCGGGCGTGGTGGTGGGCGCCTGTAATCCCAGCTACTCAAGAGGCTGAGGCAGGAGAATTGCTTGAACCCAGGAGGCAGAGGTTGCAGTGAGCCGAGACAGCACCACGGCACTCCAGCCTGGGCGACAGAGTGAGATTCTGTCTAAAAAACAACAACAATAACAACAAAAAAAACCACGGACAAATGGCTGCTCCAAAGTGATTTTGCCATTTTATGTTTCCCCTGAGCAATGTTGTAAGAGTTCTAGTTCCTCACTACACTTGGTGTCGTCCATCTTTATAGTTAGTCACACTACTGGGTGTGTACTTGCATCTTGTTGGGTTTTAATGTGCACTTTCTTCTTTTTTCTTTGTTTTTTTTTTTTTTTGAGACGGAGTCTCGCTCAGTCGCCCAGGCTGGAGTGCAGTGGCGCGATCTCGGCTCACTGCAAGCTCCGCCTCCCGGGTTCACGCCATTCTCCTGCCTCAGCCTCCCGAGTAGCTGGGACTACAGGCGCCCGCCGCCACGCCCGGCTTATTTTTTTTTTTTTTGCATTTTTTAGTAGAGACGGGGTTTCACCATGTTAGCCAGGATGGTCTCGATCTCCTGACCTCGTGATCCGCCCGCCTCGGCCTCCCAAAGTGCTGGGATTACAGGCATGAGCCACCGCGCCCGGCCTTTTTTCTTTGTTTTTAGAGACAGGGTCTTGCTCTGTTGCCAAGGCTGAGGCTGGAGTGCCATGGTGTGATCATAGCTCACTGTTGCCTCGAACTCTTGGGCTCAGGTGGTTGATTTTCCCACCTCAGCCTCCCAAGTAGCTAGTACTACAGGCACATGCCACCATGCCTGGCTAATTTTGTAAGTCTTTTGCAGAGATGGGGTTTTATTTTGTTTCCCAGGCTGATCTTGAACTCCTGGCCTCAAGAAATCTTCCTGCCTCAGTTTCCCAAAGTGTGAGCATTACAGGTGTAAGCCACTGAGCCTGGCCTAATTTGCATTTTCTTGTTGAGAAACTCTTCATGCATTTATGACCATCTTCTTTGGTGAAGTGTCTGTTAGAATCTCCAGCCCCTTAAAAATCGGGTTGTTGACCAGGCACAGTGACTCACGCCTATAATCCCAACACTTTGGGAGGCTGAGGTGGGTGGATCACCTGAGGTCAGGTGTTCCAGACCAGCCTGACCAATATGATAAAACCCCGCCTCAACTAAAAATATAAAAATTAGCCGGGCGTGGTGGCATGCACCTGTAATCCCAGCTACTCAGGAGGCTGAGACAGGAGAATCGCTTGAATCCGGGAGGTGGAGATTGCAGTGAGCCGAGATCGCAGCCTGGGCAACAAGAGCAAAACTCTGTCTTAAAATAAACAAATAAATAAATAAAAATAAAAATTCGGTTGTCTTATTATTGAGTTGTAAGAAATCTTAATATATTCGAGCTATGAATCCTTTGTCAGGTATGTGGACTGCATGATTTTCTCTAAGCCTGTGGCTTGCCTTTTCATTTTCTAAGTGGTGTCTTCCAAAGATCGTAAGTTTTTGATTATGATAAAGCCCAATTTACAGATTTTTTTCATTTACAGTTTGTGCTTTTTATGTCCTAAGAAATCTTTGCCTACCTCAAAGTTTTGAACAGTTTCTTTCTTACACTTTCAGTACTTCTATAATTTCAGTTTTTTTGTGTAGCTCAATAACCCATTTGAGATTATTATTATTATTTTTTTTTGAGATGGAGTCTTGCTCTGTCGCCCAGGCTGGAGTGCAGTGGTGCGATCTCGGTTCTGCCTCCCTGGTTCACGTCATTCTCCTGCCTCAGCCTCCTGCGTAGCTGGGACTACAGGCATGTGCCGTCACACCAAGCTGATTTTTGTATTTTTAGTAGAGATGGGGTTTCACCACGATGACCAGGATGGTCTTGATCTCCTGACCTCGTGATCTGCCCACCTTGGCCTCCCAAAGTGCTTGGATTACAGGCTTGAGTCACCGTGCCCGGCCACAGATTAATTTTTATACATGATATAAGTGTCCAAGTTTATTTTTTTCCATATGAATATCTAATTGTTTCAACACCATTTGCTGAAGAGACTTTTGGTGATAGTCCTTAAAACTCTCCATTTCCCTTGGACTCTAAGGTTGGAAGGATTTGGTGTGACAAATAGGCTGCATTTGTTAAGTAGTAATTTATCTCTATTCCCATCTTGACTTCTGAAAGACATACAGAACTGCCCGGCTTCTGATCAGCATGAGACAGTGTTATCATACTGAGCCAAAAGAATCCCAGCCAAAAGCAGAGAATCCAACATCCAGCTAGCTGGCTCGGCGAGCGTGTGGGGAAACACAAAATCTCCCTGAGGATTTTCCCAATGGGGAGAATGCATTTTGGATCTCTACTCACAACTCTGCAATTCAAACCTCTTCTGTACTTAGATGAGGACTGCTCTGTGGAGGGGCCTTGGCTCTCCTCCTTGGCCCCAGCAGCCTCTCCATCTACAAATAAAAGAGCTGTTGGTCAGGCGCGGTGGCTCATGCCTGTAATCCCAGCACTTTGGGAGGCTGAGGCGGGTGGATCACCTGAGGTCGGGAGTTCGAGATCAGCCTGACCAACATGGAGAAACCCCATCTCTACTAAAAATACAAACTTAGCTGGGCGTGGTGGCGCATGCCTGTAATCCCAGCCACTTGGGAGGCTGAGACAAAAACAAACAAATAAACAAACAAAAAACCCAACTTAATTTTAATTGTAAGGAGAAAAATAATTAAAATCAACAGTATCTTTTCATCCACTGGGGTGGTAAAGCGGAAAAAAAATCTGATAATATGAAGTGCTGGTGAAGGTACAGAAACAGGCATATCGCTGTGGGAAGTGTAAAGGAGAGCAGTCAATTTACATTCTGAAGGCAATTTAGCCTTATCTGTTAAAACAAAAAATGTACATATCCTTAATTAAGTTACAGCAGTTTGATTACATTGAGTGTCAGAGAGGCTGTAGATTAGGGTACTCAATCACTGCTAGTGGGAGCATTTATTAATAAAATCTTATTTGAGAACTACTCTTGAATGTCTATTAAACTATAAAAAACACACGCCCTGGGATCCAGCAATGCCACTTCTCAGCATCTGCCCTAGACAAATACAAGTTCCCAAGGAGGCAAATACAAAGATTTTTCCCTCTAGTATTGTTTGGTGTTTTATTCTCCTGTATTTTCTAACACTTAGTTTTATTTTGCTTGTGGATTAAAAAAAAAAAATCCAGTCTTCTGATTATATGATTTAAAGACATAAAAAAACAAATAAAATAAAAAGAAGGAGGACCAGTGACATGCTGGGTACTGGGTGCCGAGGAAGGACTGTAAATTGGAACAGACGGACAGCCTTTTGCAGACCAGAACCCAAGACTCCAGAGATGAGCAGGCATGGCAAGACCAGTTAACATCCCAGGACCGAGAGAAGCTTCCAGTCTTGGGGGAGGGGGCTGCAGATGGTTTACCCCACTACAGCAGCTCTGGGATCCCCAGCCCTCTTTGTAAGGGAAGTTTGAATGGCAGGGGGTGTGGAGACAGGGGGCCACAAAGGGAGAAGGAACAGAAGGCGGTTGCTAGGAGACGGCTTGAAAAGTCTCAGCACAAGCTTGGAATTTGGTGGAAACCACTGATCTTGTGCCAGGGTTTTGGGAGATAGGTCCTGGGCCTATTTCTGGCATCAGACCTTTGCCTGTGTGATCCGTAGTAGTGTGGCACGGCAGTGTGCCAGGGAGAAAGAGAGAGAGGCAGAGAAAGAGAGAGGAAAGGAAAGAGAGAGGGAGATGGCCAGGGGTCGGTGGGGACAGACAGAGAGAGAGAGAGAGAGAGAGAGAAAGAAAGAGAGAGAAAAGGAGGGGGAGAGAGAAATTGAGACAATGTAGAGAGAATCCTAAACTAACAAAGGAACATACAAAAATTCCAGGAACCTTGCCATCCGCTTTATCACATGAAAAAAACAGTAAGGGAGAAGAGTAAAACAAGGATCAGTAAACTATAGCCCGTGGGCCAAATCCTGCCTGCTGCTTTGTTTTGGACAGTCTAAGCCATGAATGGTTTTTATATTTTAAAATGACTGAAAAAAAAAAAAAATCAAAAGGAGAATACTTGGTGAAAAGGTGCAAATTATATAAAATGCAAATTTCAGTGTCCATAAATGACATTTCCGTGGAACATAGATACTGTCATTGGTTTAAATACTGCCTACGGCTGCTTTCACACTGCAACAGCAGAGGTGAGGGGATGCAACAGAATTCCTACAGCCCACAAGGCAAACAATATTTACCATCTGGCCCTTTCCAGAAATCATCTGCTGACCTCTGGAGTAAAAGATATTAAGGAAGGGCGCCTTCTGAGACTAAATATATAATTTGGGGCTCTAAGAGAATAATAATATGGAAGCGTTATTGAATGCTTCCTCTAGGTCAGGGTCTGTGTTAAGTGCTTATCATGCATAATTGTACTGAATTTTGCAAAATACACCATGACATAGTAGTTGTTTTCTAAATCTCTATTTCACAGACGAGGAGACGGAAGTTTACAGCTGTGATATTCAGCCTAGGCTCCACATTAGAATCACCCAGGGAGCTTTTAAAACTTACTAATGCTCAGTAAGGTCTTACTGATCAGAAACAGAATCCCAGAAGGAAGTTGGCTGAGCTAGACTCCAGATCCATATCTGTCTGAATTTAAAGCACAGGCACTTAAGACCAACTTATTCTTCCTTCCAAATGGCAAGATTCATAGGCTGTGGCCATTTCCTATGTGGGATTTACCGTATTTCCAGCCAGTATTGAGGAATGTTCCTTCTCTCTTTCCTAACAATAATTTCGACCACGTATTGAGGGTCTACTGTGTGCTTTGCACTCGATCTTCATCAGTGCCTTTCCCTTGAGTCTCTTTCAGTAACCTTATATAGTCAGTATTATTTCCTCAGTTTTCAGATGAGGCTCAGACAAGGTTAGAGCGACTTGCCCGGCAGTGACACAAAGTGTCGGCTTCTGTAGTGCTGGTCACATTCTGCTTCTTGATTTGATGCTAATTACAGAGTTTTGCTTTCCGAAAATTCACTGAGCTCTCTGCTTAGGTGAATTTTCTGTAAGAATTTTACACTACAATAAAAAGTTTCAAAAATACTTTGCCCTAAGGTGACACAAAAACATGAAGAATCCAAGATTCAAACCCTAGTCTCTGTCATTGTTTCTTAAAGTGTGTGATGAGATCTTTCTCATAATACAAGGAATTAAATAGCACCGAATCACAAAGTGAGGAAGTTGTCCCCTTTTCAATTCTTGTTCAGACATTTTGATTACAACAAGGAGAAAGTCTCTGGCAATAGCATGTCTTCAGCGTTGCTGAAACACTTGCTAACCTTTTTTTTTTTTTTTTTTTAATAACGGGAGAGAAGGCTCAGGCTTAGCAAGCAATATCTCTAACTAGACTTTAATAATATTGCTTTATTTTCATGACATTGTGTTTTCCACAGTTACCTTTTGAAGCAGACTTGGCTCTTGGTCTACCCAGTACCCACTTTTTCCCTTAGTAACAGAAATTTGATTTTTGTACCCAAATAACAGATCTCATTCTCCAATCTCCCTGCAGTTAGGCAGGCTAAGTGGCTAAGCTTGGCCAATGAGAAGCAAGCAGAAGTTGCTGTGTGGGACATTCAGGAATGCTTCTTAGTTAAAAGGTACACAGGCATGCTCTCTTTTATCTTTCCTATTTCCTGATGGTTACCTGGCCTGATGGCTGGTGATCCAGCAGCCATCTTGGGCTATAAAGCAGCCTGAGTGATGGAGGTCACATAGTAAAGACAGCAAAGCAGACACAGGAAAGGAGCCTAGATTCCCAATAACACCGTGGGGTTGACAGAATTGGATAGCCTTGGATTGCTTCCTCCGTTGTTTTTTTCTTTGAGACAGAGTCTCACTCTGTCACCTAGGCTGGAGTGCGGTGGCGCAATCTCGGTTCACTGCAACCTTGTCCTCCTGGGTTCAAGCAATTGTCCCTGCCTCAGCCTCCCGAGTAGCTGAGACTAAATACATAATTTGGGGCTCTAAGAGAATAATAATATGGAAGAGTTATTGAATGCTTCCTCTAGGTCAGGGTCTGTGTTAAGTGCTTATCATGCATAATTTTACTGAATTTTGCAAAATACCCCATTACAGGTGCCCACCACCATGCCTGGCTAATTTTTGTATTTTTTAGTAGAGATAGGGTTTCGCCATGTTGGCCAGACTGGTCTCGAACTCTTGACCTCAGGTGATCCATCCGCCTCGGGCTCCCAAAGTGCTGGGATTACAGGTGTGAGCCACTATGCTCGGCCTCTCCCATTATTTTTAAATTGTTTTTGAGATGAGGTTTCACTATGGGTTCAAGCAATCCTCCTGCCTCCTGCCTCAGCCTCCTGAATAGCTGGTATTACATTCTTCTTCTTCTTTCTCTTTCCCCCTCTCCTCCCCTCCCCCCCTCATCCCCCAGGCTGGAGTGCAGCCTTCCTTTCCCTTGCTCTATCCCCCAGGCTGGAGTGCACAATCTCATCTCACCACAACCTCCCCCTCCTGGGTTCAAGTGATTCTCCTGCCTCAGCCTCCTGAGTAGCTGGGATTACAGGCGTGCACCACCACGCCCAGCTAATTTTTGTATTTTTAGTAGAGACGGGGTTTCAACATGTTGGTCAGGCTGGTCTTGAACTCCTGACCTCATGATCCGCCCACCTCGGCTTCCCAAAGTGTTGGATTTACAGGCAAGAGCTACCACGCCTGGGCCTCTTATTCTTAAGTGAAGAAGAAGTAAACTTCTATCTTATTTCTGTCTAATATTTCTGCTCTCCATTCCTGAAAGTCAAATGCAATTCCCAAGGACTCTTTACTTTATGGCAAACTACACAAATTTTCCATTTAGAGTAACATAAAGTTTCTCCTTTTTTTTTTTTTTAAGCAAAATAAAGGTCACTATATCAAGATAAAGAATAACATTAGATGTGAACTAGCATAGGTGACTCATGGGAAACAAAATGGCAAATTCGAAAGGAATTCTGGGAACCATCGTACTAGGTTACATTGCCTTTTTGACTGTAGAGAACCCATGAGGAGAGGGTTTCTCAGTCTTCCCAGTGGAACCCTTCTCTTAGTTGCACTGGCATTTGGGGATCTCATTGCTGGGCCTAGATCCAGGCAGGGCAGCTCCTGGGGCCCAAGGGTGTGCTCACTCACCAGCTGTCTTCCAGCGTCTGTGTGCTGCTCCTGCCCTCCTGCCTCTTCTCCAGCTCCACCGCTGTCTGTTCCAACAGAGCAGACACAGCGTCCTGTAGAGACAAAGGCTGCTGGGTCATTGGGTACAATGTAGGTGCCACCCTACCTGCCAGGAATCAGAGCATCTCAGACCTGTGACCCTCCCAGTGAACTGATGGTCAAACCAAAGACCAGAGTGGTCAAGTGTCTTGCCCAAGGTCACTGATAAACTGGTAAAAATTGTCCTTAATTTCTCCAACTAGCAGTTCTCCAGAGAATAGCTCCTGTATGTACGAACATACTCAGCATCGTGGTGGAAGACAGCCAAGTTTAGCAGTGAAGTGAGACAGAATTAAGATCTCTGACTGTAAGGAGACCACAGCATCATCAGACCAACATGTGAACCATCAATAACATAATGCATAATGTACTGTCTCTTTTTGGAGTGAGAGACCTGAGTTTGAGACCTAGCTTTGCTGAGGAGATGTACATCTTAATGTAATTTGGTTATCTCTCTGAGACTTGGTAAACTGTACATAATAAACGGAATAGTGCCTGATGCAAAAGGAAGTACAGAAAATGATGATGATGATGATGAAAAAGAAGGTGGGGGTGGGGAGGGAAAGGAGAGGAGGAGGAGAAAGAGAAAAAGAAAATAGACTTAATTGATCTATTTGCTACCCTTATCTTTACCTGTATGTCCCAACCTATCCTCTGCATAGAAATTCTAGGCAGTGGCTGTCCAAACTAACCAAGTACTGACAGAAGGAACAACCTCTACAGAGAGGAAAGGATCACTACAGAGAATTACAAGAAAACCTGAATCCAAAACACTCTCTCTAACTTTTTGATGTGGTCAGGATCCCATAGGAGTCCAATACCCTATAGGTAAGACTAACTTCACTGCTCAACTGAGTCCTGACCAGTCTGCCTGGCCAGTAGGTGTGGGCTTTCCAAATGGGGGAGACAGTTTAAGGATATTTTAATGTGTTAAAGCGTACTGCACTAACTAAAATGAAAAAACATATTTTTTCACTGAAAATAGGCAAATGTAAGATTTTTTTTTTCCTTTTTTTTTTCTGAGATGGAGTCTTGCTCTCTTGCCCGGGCTGGAGTGCAATGGTGTAATCTTGGCTCACTGCAACCTCTGCCTCCCGGGTTCAAGTAATTCTCCTGCCTCAGCCTCCCTAGTAGCTAGGATTACAGACGACTGCCATCATGCTTGGTTAATTTTTGGAATTTTAGTAGAGACAGGGTTTCGCCATGTTGGCCAGGCTAGTTTTGAACTCAGAGAGATCTACTCAAGAGATCCTCCTGCCTCAGCCTCCTAAAGTGCTGGGATTACAGGCATGAGCCACCATGCCCGGCCAAGATTTTCAAGTAACAAAGTCATAATGGAACAGTTACCAAGTGCTCTTTACATATATTTCTTCAAAGCATCATAAAAACTTTTTTCTCTTTTTAATAATTAATTATTATTATTATTATTTTTGTAGAGATAGGCCTCACCATGTTGCCCAGGCTTGTCTTGAATTCCTGGCCTCAAGAGATCCTCCTGCCTCGGCCTCCCAAAGTGCTGGGATTATAGGCATGAGGCCCCGTGCCCAACCTCATAACAACCTTTTAAGGCTCACATTAGACATTAAAAATTGGATGCTCAGAGAGGCCATATGACTGACCTAGCCCTCTGATTCTCTTCCCATGACTTCCAGCTGCCTCTTATACAAAGCCTCCACTCTGGACCTTGAACAAAGTAGGGGTCCAAGAAAGGTTCATCTTTTACCTTGCACAGTTTTCTATCTCCTTCTCCATTTCATTTGTAAAAAATCATGAATTAAGTTTTCGTTAGCCAAGTGGTATTAGGTAGAACAAAGGACAGCAGGAAGCACAGATGTGGAAGAAAGCAGTTGTGGAAGGGGAGCCGCCTGCCCCTTAGTGGAGATCTCTCCTTCCCTGTCTTCTTCTCCTACTTCCTCCACCCCGTTTTTCTCCCCTTGTGATGCCCGACCACCTCCAGTTCTGGGAGAGGCTTTCCCTTCCAACATCCAGGTGCTGCCTTGTAGGAGGGTGGCACACCTGGTCCCAGCTCACCGTGCTTGCAGGCCCTGGGGCAGGGGCCGTGACTCCCACTGGCTTGAGCTCCCTGCTCTGTTTCTTCAAGTATTTGTAGCTGAGGAGGTTGTACCAGCGAGTCGACCTCTCCCCAGACCTGCAGACCTCCGCCAGGCTGATCTGGGCGCCTCCCTGTTGGGGATGGAAACAAGGAGAACATAAGCGGGGCAGAGGGGGGAACCAAGTGTCAGGGAATCTGGTTCACGGAGACAGTATGGAGAAAACACCACTCCAGATAAGACGGAGGCATCCTGGCAGGAAGATAGGCCAAGTTGTTAACATTTCCAATAACTCATTTGTCGTTCATTCATTCGTTGATCGGTTTAATCATTTGCCAAATCTTTATTGAGGACTTATCCTATGAATTTTTTTTAAATAAACAAAACTATGCTAAAAAAAACCTTTAGTTTACCATCTTTGCTGCTTTTAAGTGCAATTTCAGTGGTATTAAACATTATGCACATTGTTGTAAAAGAGATCTACTGAACATTCTCATCTTGCAAATCTGAAAGCTTTGCCTCCCGGGTTCACGCCATTCTCCTGCCTCAGCCTCCCAAGTAGCTGGAACTACAGGCACCCGCCACCACTAATTTTTTGTATTTTTAGTACAGATGGGGTTTCACCATGTTAGCCAGGATGGTCTCGATCTCCTGACCCGGTGATCTGCCCGCCTCGGCCTCCCAGAGTGCTGGGATTACAGGCGTGAGCCACCACACCTGGCAACTCTACACTTATTAAGCAACAACTTCCTTTTTCCCCTCCCTGCAGCCCCTAGTAACCACCACTGTATTTTCTGTTTCTATGAATTTGATGACTTTAGATACCTCATATAAGTGGAATCATACAGTATTTGTCTTTTTGTGACTGGCTTACTGAACTTAACAATGCCTTCAAGGTCCATCTGTGTTGTAGCGTATATCAGAATTTTATTCCTTTTTTGTTGTTGTTTTTTTGGAGGTAAGGTCGCACTCTGTTGCCAGGCTGGAGTGCGGTGGTGTGATCATAGCTCACTGTAATCTCGAACTCCTGGGCTAAGAGATCCCCCTTTCTTTTTAATGCTGAATAATATTCCATTGTATGGGCATGCTACATTATGCTTATCCAGTCATCTGTTGATGGACATTTGGGTTACTTCTACCTCTTCACTATCGCGAGCAGTGCTGCCATGAACATGAGTGTACTAGTAATTCTTTAAGAACCTGCTTTCAGGGTGGGCATGGTGGCTCATGCCTGTAACTGGAGCACTTTGGGAGGCTGAGGCGGGTGGATCACCTGAGGTCAGGAGTTCGAGACCAGCGTGACCAACATGGAGAAACCCCATTTCTACTAAAAATGCAAAATTAGCCAGCCGTGGTGGCATATTCCTGTAATCCCAGCTACTCGGGAGGGTGGGGCAGGAGAACTGCTTGAACCCAGGAGATGGAGGTTGCAGGTGAGCTGAGATCGTGCCATTGTACTCCAGCCTGGGCAACAAGAACAAAACTCTGTCTCAAAAACAAAACAAAACAAAACAACAACAACAACCTGCTTTCAATTATCTTGAATATATGCCCAGAAGTACAATTGCTAGGTCATATGGTAGTTACATTTTAAAGTTTTGAGTGGAACTACTATACTGTTCACATCAACACTTGCTAAGGAAGTGCTTATAATCCCACCAACAATGCACACGAGTTCCAATTTCTCTACGTCTTCACCAACACTAGTTATTTTGTGTGGTTTTTTGATAGCCATCATCCAAATATGTGTGAGGTGGTATCTCATTGTGGTTTTGATTTGCATTTCTCTGATAATTAGTAATGTTGAACATCTTTTCACATGGATGTTGGCCATTTGTATATTAATTTTGGAGAAATGTCTATTCAAGTCCTTTCCCCTTTTCACATTGGGTTATTTGATTTTTCTGTCGTTGAATTCCCATTCTGTGTTAAGTTATATTAAGCACTAGGTTCTACGTTATGTACTGAGCATAATGATGGTCCCCACATGGTTCCACCTTCTGGGAGCCAGCACTCTCCCAAGGAACTCAGGAACTGAACAAGTAATTAATTCCAAGTGAGGTAGAAAACTGCGTTGTCATTTCTCCTCCACTAAACTTGCAAAAGTTTAAAAAATTGACAACAAATGCCGTTGGTGAGGTTATGGGGAAACAGGCTCTCTCTCACCTTGCTCGTGGGAATGTAAAATGGCAGAAACCCGATGGAAGGAATTTAGTCATATCTAGTAAAAACATAAACGCATTTTACCCTTCGACCGAGTAATTCTCCTTGTAGCTGTCTATCCCACAGATACACCTGCAGAAATCTGTACAAGTACAAAATGACCCACAAAAAGAGTCTTCATTTTGACCCTCTTTGTAATAGCGAAAGTTTTTTTTTTTTTTCTTGAGACAGAGTTTTGCTCTTTTTGCCCAGGCTGCTGGAGTGCAATGGCATGGTCTTGGCTCACCGCAACCTCTGCCTCCCAGGTTCAAGCAATTCTCCTGCCTCAGCCTCCAGAGTAGCTGGGATTACAGGCATGTGCCACCACGCCCGGCTATTTTTTTTTTTTTTTTTTTCATATTTTTAGTAGAGACGGCGTTTCTCCATGTTGGTCAGGCTGGTCTTGAACTCCCGACCTCAGGTGATCCGCCCACCTCGGCCTCCCAAAGTGCTGGGATTACAGGCGTTAGGCACTGCGCCCAGCCAACGGCAAAAGATTTTAAACTACCCAAAGGTCCAGCAACAGGGAACAGACGAAAGAACTATAATCTATCTATGCAATGGAATATTACGTAGCTGTGTAAAAAAGAGGAAGATCTCTTTATACTGATGCAGAGAGAGGGCCAGGCTATAAAGTTACGAGAAAAAATAGCACGGTGCAGAAAAGAGTATATAATATGCTACCTTTTGTGCAAGAGAGAGGGGGATAAGTATATGTGTCTATAGTCTATGTATATATTGCACCATGTTTGAGGTGCAAGGGGGAGTGAACATGATCATACGTGCACAAGAAATAATGGAAAGATGAAAAAGAAATTAATCAAAGTGGTCACCTATATAGGGTAGGCAGTGAGGCTGGGGTGAGGAGAGAGCATGATTTCTCTTCAGTAAACCTTTCCATACAATTTTTCTTTGAGTTATGTAAATATATCCCTTAAACTGAAAACAAATTATAACAAACTAACCTAACTGACTATAAGCTCACAGAAAAGGGAATTATTTCAAGTGACTTAATATTTTTACTGTTTTGTTTTTCCCCCCTACATCCTCCCTAGAAATTACTACAAACTAATTAATCATTCCTCAGAGGCTTTATTGTTTTGACATGTCCAAAAATGAGCCCTGGTCAGGTTTGGGAAGGTGGTCAGCCTACCTTCCCCTAACACACTAGTGTCGGTGTGTGGAAGGGGCTACCCAGACTCTGTGCTGATGGGTGGTAGAAATACCAAATGCCAGTTTGCAAAATGGACTTGAGCCAAGTGTATTAATCCGTTCTCATGCTAATAAAGGCATACCCGAGACTGAGTAATTTACAAAAGAAAGAGGTTTAGTTGACTCACAGTTCAGCATGGCTGGGGAGGCCTCAGGAAACTTACAATCATGGCAGAAGAGGAAGCAAACACTTCCTTCTTCACATGGTGGCAGCAAAGAGAAGTGGCGAACAAAAGTGGGAAAAGCCCCTTATATAACCATCGGATCTCATGAGAACTCACTCACTATCATGAGACTAGCAGCATGGGGGTAACCGCCCCCATGAGTCAATTACCTCCCACCAGTTCCCTCCCACAACACATGGGGATTATGGGGGCTACAATTCATCAGGATGCATCGGAACGTGGCAGAGCTGTGCTAGGTCTGGGACAGTGAAAGGTGGTTTCTGAGAGCACAGTGGTGAGTAGGGAGAGGAAGAAAGCCCGATGCTGACACTTCGCTTGTTTAGCACCAGCTTCCTCATCTGGAAAACAGAGAAAACAACTCCTACCTACCCGCCTATTGGGAGGATCAGAGTGAATTAAATGCTTGGCACACTTCAGGCACCCAGAATAAATGTACATATATATAAATATTTGTCTATTGCTCATTTATTCATTCAATAAAAACTCCCTAAGCCCTTCGCAGACTCTGGAACCACAGAAGCATGTAAGATATGATTCTTCCCCAAAACGGCTCATGGTTTCCTAGGGAGATAGACAGCTATGTTGCATATTACAGTTCAGAACATGCCAGGCCATGTGTGAGGTATGAGGGGAAAGGACCAGGACCACAGCTTTGAGGTGTAACACTTCCAGCAGATTATTATTAATTCTAACAAGATATACTGTTTATCTGGGGCCGGCTCACAGCTGTGAGTATTGTCTACCTCAGTAAACTGGATGCACCTTTGAGGGCATTTACGTATTCATTCATTCATTTATTCAACACACAAAAACGTGCTGAGAAGTCTCATGTGCCAGGCACTGTTCTGGGTGCTGGAGACAGAGCAGAATTGAAGGCAGATAAATATTCCTGCCCCATGACTTTATATTTGCGTCTAGGGGAATCAGATAACAACTCCATAAGTAAACTCCTTACTGTGTTTCATCGAATCTAAGATGCCATCTTTAAAAGTGTACCATTATTTTATGCACCAAGAAAGAGAAATAGTTGCCAATTAAACTATAACTTGTCATCTAGTACACAGTGCATCTTGATTTCAGAAATAAAATGTAAAGATAACACGTACCCTAGAATCTATGAAGTACAGTGAAATGTTAGGTGATAAAAGGTGGTGTAGAGAAAAATACTACAGGGAAGGGGGCTAGAAGGGGATAAGAGAGCAGAGAGGGTAATGGGATTTACATAGGGTGGAAGACCTCACTGAGAAGGTGACATTTGAACAAAGTCCGGAAGGAGGTGAGGGAACACCTGGGAGGACAGGATGCCAGGCAGAGGACACAGCAAGTGCAAAGGCCTGGAGGGGAGCACATATTGGCGTATTCAAGGAACACGAGGCTGGAGGAAGAGTTTTGCAGATATAATGCCAGAGATAAGAAGTGGCCAAATCCCAAGGGGCCTTGGAGGCCAGGCAAAGGACACAGGTGTTGACTCTAGGTGGAGACATAAGCCATCATAAGGTTTTAGCAAAAGAATGGCATGCACTGATTTACATTT